AAGTGCCGGACCCCCGCCCCTCTGATGGCCTGACCGGTCCGGGAGACCAGCACCCCAGCCAAGCGGCCCCGGGGAGGCCAGTCTGGCCGCTGCGAGGTGGCCCCTCCGGGGAGGGCTGCTGCCGAGTCTGCTGGAACCGCACCCCTCCCTGCCCCTGAACTGAGGCAGCTGTCCCCACCAGCGCCAGTGCACCCTCCCCCAGCGCTGTGCCAGCGGGGGCAGAGCTGCAGTTGTGACAACCTGGGGCCTCAGCACAGACTGGGTGACGCTAGCACCTGCCCCCGGGAGGTCTCGAGAGACAGTGACCAGTGGATAAGCCGCCCCGAATGGCAGTCCTGGTCAGCTTGAGGGGACAAAGCTCTGGGCCCTACAGGTGCATGTGGGCCAAACCCCCAGCGTCGGGCCGAGAGCAGGTTCAGGCTCGGGTCTGCCCGGCCCCTCCACCGCCTCGGACGCCACTCACACCCCAGCCCAGCTCCATGCACGCCAGGAAGGCGGCGTGAGGCCAAGCCCTCGGTGCAGGAGTAGCCGCAGAAGCTAGCAGACCCCGCGGCCCCATCGTGGGTCCTCCGCGTGGGCCTCGGGGTGGGCTGGGACGGACTGAGGGGCCTGACCTCAGGGCCCTGGAGGTGGGCTGACGGCCACCGCCTCATCCGCACGGGGACACGCTCCCCGCCTTACCCCCGTCCAGAGCACGTCCCGGCCGAGTGCGTGCACGGAGGGGACAGGCACATCTCAGGGCCCAGGGGGCGGGAAGGCGCTGGGCTGAGGACTCAATTGAACGGGGCGGGGAGGTGAGCCAGCCGGGCTCCAGCAAAGGGCCCGTTTGCAAAACAAGACCAAACACAGCCTGTTAATTGGGTGTGTGGGGCTGCCTTTCATTTCCAGATGACAGCCCCTCAGAGCTAACCCCAGGGAGGGTCAAACGAGACCACTGCAGACAGACAGAGGGCCCCAGAGGGCCCCGTGGGAGGGTCCTGAAAACCAGCTGTGATGGGGTAGGGGGGCTGGGAGCCTGGGTCAGAGGCGGGAGCAGCTCCCCCACCCTGGAGACCACTGAGGCTGACTCCCCTCTGACTAGAGGCCCCCGGCCAGATCCAGGAAGCCGGGCAGAGCGAGGAGGGAGGCAGTGCTCACCCGGGCTGGCAGCAGGAGCCTGGCGGAGCAGACCCCACACAGCCGCTGCTCCGAGGGGCAGAGCCTGGGGAGACCCCAGGTGCTCCGGTCTCTGAGCTGAGGCCAGAGGAGGTGCTGCAGCTGAGCTTCGTCTGCCTCGGTCCCTCTTCCCCCGAAACGGAAAAGCAGGAGAGGCCACCCAGCCTTCAGCGTGTCTGGGTGGGGCCTCATGAGCCTGGGGCGGGGTCAGCGTTTGTGCATCCCCCGTGGGCTTGACCTTTGCAAGTTTCGTACTTTTGGTAAACAGGAAAAGGCAAACTAGGAGAAGTGGCTTTGAAGAACGAGTGTCAGTCCTCCCGGAGGCGGGCGGGCACCTACCTGTCCAGCACGTAGCCCAGGGCCTTGCGCCGGATGCCCGAGTACACCGAGGGGCTCGTCTCCCAGGCCACCAGATTGGACGCATCGTGGAAAAGGTGGATGTTCACCAAGTCAAAGGCACTGCAGGGACAGAGGGAGGGCTCATGGCGAGGGGCTCAGAGGGGCTGGCGCCGCTGGGTCACCCAGGGCGGCCCCCACGCTGTCCCCCTGGCTCCCAAGGGCACCCCGCATGCCCGTCCCCCTCAGCCGCACCAGGCTGCCCAGGGCTTGTCCTCCTCTGGTCAGAGGAGGACACACGAGACCCTGCACGCAGGCTCTCAGTGTTACAAACACAGCAGCTCACTGGATGGCAAGGGAACTGTTTCTCTAAAGCAAAGAACTTACACACGACCCCAGAAACTTCCTTCAAGCTGTGGGCTAACATGGGGGTGGGGGGATGGGGGAGTCACCTCCCCAGGCCTCGGCTCCCTCCTGGGTGGCTGCTGATGCAGCCTGGAGCCACCCCTGTCCAGCAGCGCTCACTGTAGGCGGACCCCGTGACATGGGGGCACTGAGTGATTCATTTCACTCCCAAGAAGAAGCCCCTAGCTCACAGAACCTGGAAGACCCTTGGGGAAACAGCAGGGCACTGCTGGCCTGGCTTCTCAGGGAGATGGTGAGGCCGGATTCAGCCCAGTCAGCCTCCCCACACCCCAGGGCCCCTGGGCATCGCTGGGGCATGTCTGCCACACAGTGAGTGGTGCCTTGGGGGCGCCCCATGCCACCCGCAGAGTTGGGACCACTGGGCCCGAGACCCAGCGGGACACATCTGCAGAGCTGGCAGCAGCCCCCTGTGCCCTCCCATGCCGCGCCTGGGCCTGCGGGACTGACCACACAGGCTCAAGCGGGCGGTCGGGTCCTGGAGGCTGCAGCTGGCTCGAGCTCCCTCCTGCTCTCTCATGCTCTAGGATCCCCGTTCCAGGGAACACCCCAGCCCTCGAGGCCCCAGTGAGGGGCCTGTGTGGACATACATAGCAGGGGCAGCTGAGGGCCCAGCTGCGGTCAGCCAGCGTCAGGACGGCCATCTCCCCAGGGCCTGCAGGGGGCAACACCCCTACTCCAGCCACTCCAGGACCTCGCTGTGCAGAGCACGGCCTTGGGACCAGCAGAGCCCAGCCACAGGTGCTGCACGCAGGTCAGGACAGCAGGGAGCAGTTTTCAAGGGTTCCTGTCCCGGGAGAAGACAGGCGTGCACCATGGAGGGTGCCCCCCAGGAAGGCCATGCCGGGGATCCCCATGTCAGCAAGGGTCCTGCCTCACCTGTGCTCCATGCCCCACAGAACCCCACTTCCTGCAGCTGGACACAGCGCAGTAGGACGACCAGAAGGAGGGGTCTGGGGAGCCCTGCACCAGCTCTTGGCTCTCGAGGGGGCTCCCAGGGAGGAGGGCAGGGGCAGGTGGATGTGAGCACCAGAACACCGGAGTTACAGGGACCAGGTGACAGTGCTCTGTGCCACATGGAGTCGCCAGAACAAGGAGGGTCAAGAGCGGAGAGTAGGGTGGAGCAGCCTCTGACGGATGTCCAAGCCACACACCACTTGTGCCCAGTCCGAAAGGGGAACGTCCCGGGAGCCGGGCACAGGCAAGGACCACAGGGAACGTACCAGTCCGCCACGCACCACCTCGTCCGGATGAAGCCTTTCCTCGACCACTTGCACTGAAAAATAAACAGGTGACACTTGTAAGTGGCCGACAGAGAAGGAGGCCCCACGGCTCCCACGCAGTTGGGGCGCCTGCTGTGCTTTCCAGTCGGATGAGGTCAGCCGCTGTCTCCGCGCAGGGCGCCTGCTGGCTCGCTGCTCCGGCTCAGCCACAGGCAGGAAGGGGCCGAGGGACAAGGCCACCACCGTCCTCTACCCACCACTGCCCAGGCTGGAGAGAGGCCCAGGGACGCAGCCAGCCGGGCACGTGGGGAGCCTGGCTGGGGGGAAGGAC